ATTGTTATTCTAAATAAAATAAACCACGAGTCAATATTTACATGATACAATAATAGCTAAATAAGTAAATAAACAAATAACTAAAATCATAAATGTTATTTACATATTATATAGGATTTGTATGCACGAACAGCCCAAAGTGACCAACAAACACAAGCAAAAGCAACTTTCTCTCAAATGCAAAATCCTCCAGGCCCCTGAAATAGGACTTTTGGTTAGTATAGAGACAGTTTTGGGCTGCAGAGCTGTGACCTGGCTACGGCTGAATTTCCATCGGAAGCCACACTTTAGATGGCAGATGGTGGGTTTGCTGCATCTTTTTTCTGAATCTCATTCCTGTCTCAGTCTCTACTGGAGCCATGCTCCTCACATGATGCATACAGTCCAGAGACAACTGAAATACCAAGTCATAATCACGTCCATTAACCTCCTGCACATGCCCAGTAGAGGAACAAGAAAACAAACTAACAAAGAACTCTACACCCATGGCCTACAGTCTCCCAACACCAGTCGTATCCATGTAACGTTGGCATGAACCAACCTGGATTAAAGTTCTCAGAATCTCTCCCATCAGCCCCACGTAACACTAAAGCTATGCCCAGTGGAAGACACTCGAGGGGATGCCTGCCTGGTGACGTCGCAGTCACAGTCTGGGAGATCTGCGTCCGCACTGCCGTCCTCTGCCATTCTCAGGGCACGCAAGTCCTCTGCCACCACCATGAATCTTCCACTTGCAAAAGTTAGACACTGAAGAGCAAAAGGCTCAATCCTTCCTGGGTGGGAAAAGAGTTTCTCCCCTTGTCAGTGTGTAGAACTATGAAAATGCCCGTGCTGGACAAATGGTTGGTAGTGTCTGTCTGTTAACATGACACTGAGCAGTGACAAGTTGTCATGTTTCTAAATAAAACCCACATTCATGAACATGTGCCAGGCTTGAGCTCCTGGAATGTAGGCCACGAGGGTAAGAAGGGGAAGAAGCTCAGTGTAATCTGCCAGGAGCAGGTCACAGGTCTAAAGAAAGGACAGCAGGAACAGGGTGGGCGGCAGGCGCTCTGCTGTTCTGCGAGCACAGTCAGTCTTTCCTGGGAGCTGTTGGCTGTACCGTGAAGGCTACTTGAAAAAAAGAAACTACCTGCCTGCCAACCAACCAACAAAACCTCCACAAGCCCAGCAGATCCCAGCAGCGAAGCGAAACAGCTTCCCTTTCTCTTTGGGTCAATCTGCCAGCTCAGTGGTGTGAGTAGGATGCTTAGGGGTTGTTTTGGAAGGTTGGGGGACTCTATGAGAAATCATTTCATCTTCCCATATAACTATTTGAGCATAGAAAATAATGGAGAAATATTCATTTCCACTTCATATATCCAAAACCTCTGCCCATTTAAAAATAATAATGTATCTTGAAACAGATGTATCTTTGCTCTGGAAATTGTTATTGAGTATGTTAAAGCTGTAATGAAATGCTTCTAAAAAATAAAAAAAATAATAATGTAAGGTGATCAAAAATAACATTATTTTAAGATAATAAAAACTATACCTATGTATTAATAAGATAATAATAAAAACCTATACCTTTGTTGGAAGTATTTCAGAACACGTTTCATTCTGTGAATTTGAAGAGCTTCATTTTTTTGTATAAAATATAAAAGAAATATTAAGATGCTCAAAGGTCTGGACTGGAAGGCAATTCAGTTGGTGCAGTGTTTGTCTAGCATGCATGAAGCCTTGAGTTTAATCCCTGGGATTGGATAAGCTGGGTGTGGTGGTGCATGCCTGTAACATCAGCACTGGGGAAAGTAGAGGTATCAGAAGTTTCTACCAGGGCATATGTAGTTCCTGGTAAGCTTGGGCTACATGCAACCTTGTCTTAGGAAAAAAAAAAATATCTGGGCTGGCAAGATGGCTTAGAGGGTGTAGGCACGTGCTGCCAAGCCTGAGGACCTGAGTTCAATCTGTGGAACTCGAATGGTAGGAGAGAACTCATCCCCTCAAATTGTTCTTTGACCTCCACACATGCCAAGTCACATGTACTTACACTGACATGCACCCCATTCCACACACACATAGAATAAATAAAAGTGTAATAAAAGTGTTTTTAAATCTAAATGTATACATCAGGTCACGTTCTGTTTGAATCTGTGTGAAAAAAGTATTGGAATATCGGAGAGTTATGAACAGGACTGAAGAGTGGAACTGAAGAGTGCAGCTGGTAGCTCACAGCTGAAGACAGGTGTGGAGGAAGTTCATCCCATCTGTGTACCAGTAAACAAGGAAACAGAAAGCAGATGTGATAGCCAAGCGTCTTCTGAGACAGGCTGAAAGGGACACTGGTTCCAATGGGGCTTTAAACTCCAGAGCAAGTTAGCAGTCAGCATGTGGTCTAGTCTAATTCTGAAGATGGCACTAAGAAATGGACAACATATGTACACAAAAATCTCCCACAGCCATGATACTAGTGCATGATGGGACACTACAGAAGTAGAAACATACGTGAGCATCTCAGTGACTATAGAGCAAAGCACGTGTGTCTCATACAATGGGCTCAAGTGTATCCATATGTCTTTGCGAAAGTTAAAAAAAAAAAAGATCTAGAAAAGTTCTCACCTGAGAAGCCACACAGAAACGATACACATAAACTTGACTTTGCAGAGAAAACATCACCTTCCTTTGTAATGTCAGCTTATAGCTGGACAGAAAGTAAGCTGGCTGCCTGCAATATATTGTTAAAGCTTATTTGAAATATTGCCAGCATAGCGTACCCACTTCTCCATACTGAGATGATGAGATTCATAAAGGAAATTTAACTATTTCAATGGGATTATGTGGATGTGCACATCAGTCTGAGTCAGAATCTGACAAAAATCATAATCCCCAGGGCATCGTCCCAGTGGAAGATCTCTGTAAATAAGGTATTTGTAGCACAAGAGTTTCAGTTTCAGCTTCTGAAATAAGATTTTATTATGATTCTAGTGACTGAGATGTTAGACTAAACGTCGCATTGGGATTCTAGACCACCATGCTTTTCAGCTGTTGAATAATTCCATCTGAAAAGGATGTGTTCATCCCTGTATGTCCCCTAGCACCGAGCTCACTCTTCACTAAACTTCTTTGCATGTTTGCATTCCTATCATAAACTTGTGGGGGAAAAGGACTCTATCATGGCCCTGGCATTCTCAAAGTCTGTGAGACTCTGTTACAGTGTAGTGACTTTGCAAACAAAGGGCTGGGAAATTAGATTGTCAAAATTATTAATGGAACCTAACTTCCATTTAGTTGAGTTCTCTCTATGCAGGCAATGGAAGTCACAAAGTTGGTGTGCAGGGGAGGCCAGGTGCTTCACGCAAAGCCTGCAGTTTGGTCCTTAGCACAGAGTGTTCAATGTATTGGCAAGTACAGGGTTGTTGATAAACATCAATTCCACTTTTGCTTATTTATCAATAAAATAAATTATATTCTTAACTTCCCAAATTAGATAGTCTTTCACGATTTCCTTATAGGGGAAAAAAGTAGTAGGACTTCAGAGAAATCAGTATATAAGGTCTAGTGAGATATTTTAACTAGTACAGTGCTTGCATGAGGAACTAGGTTTGATTCTCAGACCCTATGTGGAAAAAAAAAGAAAAAATAAAAAGGTCAAGAATGGTAGTGTAGGCCTGTAATCCCAGCACTGGGAGGAGGAAACAGGTGGATCCCTGGGGCTCACAGACCAGCCAGGCTAGCCTACTTGGTGAATTCCAGGCCAGTGAGAGGCCCTGTTTCAAAAATAAAACAAACGAACAAACAAAAACCAGAAACCACCCCAAAAGGTTCTGAACCAGAAGCATTTGCAACATTCCAACTCTCCTCATCACTGTAAAAAAGAGCATCTGCTTAAATATTCGTGAATCCATCCATTCATTCACTGAAATATTCATGGAGCCTAATCAGATACTATTATTATTTCTACTTTTATGTTTGTTTGCTTTGCAGGATTGAACCTAGGGCCTTTCTCTTGCTAGGCCCTGGGTTCTACCACTGAGCCACATCCCAGCCCAGGTGCCATTCCTGGGGGTTTTAGCTATGCAGTAAGTAAATGGATACAGTTTTCTTACAGCTCCTACATTCCAACACGAAGGAAGGAAGCATCCACGTTGTCACTTCCTGTGTTAACATGAAATGCCCCTCTGTAGCCTTCAATCATACCAGCATCTGTATTGTTGGCAAAGGGCCTCGGACACTGTTCCTTTCTGTCTGTCATCTTTTATTCACACTGCCTATCTACAAAATCAACAGGACACAATCTGTCTCTCCAACCCGAGGCATACACTTATACTTATCAGTACAGTTAAGTACAATATTACAATAATAAAGTAGTTTATTTTTACAAATAAGCACAGTGACTGAGGGATGTCAGGGGACACTAACTTGACTTGATAGGGCGGAACATAAATGACAGAATATACGAACCCAGCGGGGGGCAAGCTGTGGAAGGGTGCCAAAGGGAAGTAGGTATAAAGATGATTAAGATATTATGTATGAAATACAGAAAAATTCAATAAAATATACAAAAAAGGAGAAATGTGCAAGAGACAGAATGGAGAGCATAAATAAAGCAAATTGATTTAAAAAACAACCAAACAAAAAAAACCCAAATAGCCAGTGACAGTAACCAGCTTTCTTTCCATAGTCAACTAACTAAAAATATATAGGGATGTGGGAACTTTCTCTTTTGCTACTGCAGATAAAACACCCTCTATAAATATTGAGGGAGCAGGTGCTCTTTCTTCCCCATAGATGGTGGAGTTCCCACAAAGCCCTGGAACATCTCTTGTTTGGCTATGACTGGGGGACTTTAAAGTTAATGAGAGTATCATTTGTGGGAACAGCACAAGTATTCTCTAAACAGTAGGGAAGGCACAGGACGAGATCATGAGTTAATGGATTCCCTTTAGCGGAAGGGAGCGCGGGCTGAAAGGCTTTGACGCTCTGCATGCATGTGTCCTATTGAATCCAGTCCCTTTTACCTGGCTGCCATGAGATCCAGGAGGTGCTGCCACCGGTCATTGACCTTCCCCAGCTTGTATTCAATCTCAGAGGCTTTGCTTTCATGGCTGGCTTTGGCCAGTCGTTCTCCCATTTGTTGCAGTTGCATTTTGTTCTCAGGGGCAACAGCGATTTCCTCTTGATAATCCTGCATGATAAACAGCAATCCCAGAGGTCAGAAACCATACTCTTATTGCATTCATCCAACTCTTCTAGAAACAGACTAATTACAGTTTTCTACTGCTTACAAAGAGTTTGGGGATCAGGAACACCATGTGAGCATCAGGGCATGTGCAGAAGAATGAACAGTTCATCTTGCTTTAGGTAGACACGTGGGAGTTCAGATTCAATTTTGATAAGATGTTCTTGAATGAACTGGAAAGTACTTTCTCTTTACTTAAAATGGGTACCAGTTGGGTGTGATGGTGTATGATTTTTAATTTTAGCACTCCAGAGGTAGAAGCAGGATGATCAGGAGTTTAAGATCATCCTCAGCTACATAATGAGTTTGAGTCCAGCCTTGGCTACATGAGACCCTGCCTCAAATAAAATAAATAAATGAATAAATAAATAAATAAATAAATAAATAAATGTATGTTGATCTCATTGGAAGGGGGACTCCCTTAAGGGAGGAGGGTAGTAGAACATGTGAAAGTACAGAAGGAGAACACTGGAGTGGAAAGGTTTATGCACAGAGTGATACAGGAGGGATGATACAGGAAACAAGAGGTTGGAGGGAGGGTTCATCAAAATGAAGAGGGTATGTGAAAAAACATATGGAAGCCTACTATCTTATAACCAATAATGATATAATTACAAGAAAGAGTTTGAAGGGACCTCTGCATGGCTTGAGAAAGCTGCTCTTACAAGCTGAGGCTTAGTTTAGTAAACAAAACCCCAGAGCCAGGATGGGATACCATCTAATGAGTTGTTAGTCTAGGAGGCCTGTAAATCCAAACAGGCTCTTTCCATTCCTCTTGGTAGAAGCCAAGGCTTAGTTTAGTAAACAAAACCCCCAGAGCCAGGATGGGATACCATCTAATGAGTTGTTAGTCTAGGAAGCCTGTAAATCCAAACAGGCTCTTTCCATTCCTCTTGGTAGTCTACCAGGCTAGATGATAAGACCCTGCTGCTGAAGAAACCATGAACCTTGGTTGCTAGAACTGAGCTATAAAACTCCTCCCTGTACCTTAATTTCCATAATCCCAGAAGGTGGTACTCAGGCCCCTGCGGTAGCAAAGGCATCACCCAGCTGTGAGCCCTATGAACTACAAGAACAGCCAGACAAGATGTGTTAATTTCCCAATAGCAGCACCACTGTGATGGGGTTAACCAACTGCTCTCGGGTTAAATTTGAGGCCCACTTTACAGGATGGAATCCATCCCTGGTACTATAAACCTGGTCAAAACTCACACTGGGGAGATCATAGGTCTTAGGGGGGAAATGAATACTGTTTAGCTGAATTGTTATAGTGTCAAACTTCCTTTATGTTCATACCATAGACAACCGCTACTCTCAGCCCTAATCAGAGGAGGCTCCCTTTAAGTGACAGTGGTGAGTGCAGTGACTCACGACTGTACAGGTGCTGAGGAGGTTACAGACAAGTGCTCAGCCCTATACAAGACACTTATACCACCCCTTCTAAGACCTGGAGAACATTACAGAAGAGGGGTCAGAAATAATGTAAGAAAGAAATAATGTAAGCTCCAGAAGGCAGGGAAAAGACTGTGAAATGTCATCCTCTGGGAAAGACACTGACATTGCATCCACAAACTCACAGTAGCTGTGGATGTGTGTCCTGGGCCTGCTACCGTCAGACATGGATGGAGGAAGGGCTCAGGGGCTCAACCCATTGCTGCTGAACTATTTGATATTGATAGATTCACAGAGAGAAAAAGTCATAGCCTTCAGTTGTATATCCACTAGTGAACCCACTAGGTTCCAAGGGATAGTTCCACTCCAATGCTCAACAGATGGCCATGGTTAAAACTTAATGGGTCACAAAACAAAACTGAAAGTCATGAATCTGGGAAAGAGACTGTTAGGGTGTGTGTGAGGAGGGTGATGGGGTTGGGAGGGAGAAACAAGATGGTAAGGAGAGAAGAACCAAAATTCATCATATACATGTATGAAATTGTGAGAAAACAAAATTCATCAGTAAAAAACGTTGTGGCTCCATGGGGTGGCTCAGTGGCAGATTGCTTGTCTACCTCTAGTAAGCACCTGAGTCTAATTTCTATCATTACAAAAACAAAACAAACAAAATATAATAAAAGTATATGTAGAGAGACATAAAAGACCTAACTTGAAGGAGTTAACACTGGGGAATTATACCCCAGTGCTACAGTCACTAACTTGTTGATTTATGTTTAGAATTAGTCCTCATAAAAGTAGCTGAAAATAGGTTTATAAGATGCTTGTACACACATGCACATGGCTATGCAATCAACATATACATGTATTTGTAAATGTACATGCATATTTATGTCAATCACATTAGTTACGAGGCCCTTACATATATTAAAACTTATGTCTATCATGTTACTTGTGCAGAATGTTTTGGGGTCCTTTATCTTAGAGAAATTTTCTCCATGACACCATTTTTTTGAGGATTTCATACATAACTATTGTCATTGCCTTGTTTCTATCCTTCGCAGTTCCCCACCCACTCTTACGCTGTCCCCCTAGCTCTCTTAATTTCCCGACCTCTTCTTTATCTTTGTGTATACATACTTTCATAAACAGATGCACACATACGCACACATCTAATGCACTGAATTCATTTAGTGGTGCTCATGTATACTTGTGTTCAGGTCTATCCATTGGGAATTAGATAACCTCTCAGGGAATTAGTCCCTGGAGAAAACTGATTCTCCCTCCCTCAGCAGTCATTGAATGCCTGCAGCTCTTCATCATGAGGTGGGACCTCCTGACATTCCTCCCATCCACCTGGGCTTGTCGGCTGGTTTTGTCACTATGCAGGTCTCACTAGGCTACCACACTGTGGAGATTTCACTGCTGCAGCTTCTTCATCATGTATGACACCAACATTTTGGAACATATAATCACAAATTAGCTCTCAAGAAAAACATTCATTTCAACATGTCAGTGGGTCTCGCACCTTCTTGGTTCATTCAGTCAGTTAGCTCCTCTTAAAGACTGGTTAAAGACAGCAGGCTCCATGTGGTCTATTTGCAAAGGACACGGACTAACCCAAAAGACAATCTTTCCTACCCCAAGTGACCTTCTTAATCACTCTTGCCATAGTCAGTGATGGGATCCAGTTTTTAGGATCAGTCTTTTCATTACAGGTTAACGCACCTGTCATGCAGAAAATATTATCTCAGCAATATAATACATGATGGTCAGGAGGATTGCTCTACAAGACAAGCACAAGCAGAAGGAACAGAGTTTGCGCCCCCAACACCCATGCAAACGGCATGTAGGAGTGGCAGCTGGCTGGTGATCCCTGAGCCAAGGAGGAAGAAACAGCGGATCCCTGGAGCAAACTGGATGGCTGGACTAGACAAATCGGCAAGTTCTGGGTTCAAGTGTGATACTCTGCCTCAATATGGATGGAGAGCAATTGAGGAGAACACCTGATGTCAACCTCTAGCTTCCACAAGTGTATGCACATGTGTGCCCATACATAGGCAAACACGCATACACACATGCATGCACACCAAACATACACATGCAAACAATAAAATAGAATTCAAAAAGAAAAATAATAAATGAACATAAGTTTTATATGAGCATGGATATTTTAGCCACAGGTTTTACATGAGCATGGATACTTTAGCCCTCTCTTCCTCTAAAGTTGGGCTACTATAAGCCACTTCCAGAGCAAAAGAGCCTGAAAGGAACAGAGTCAGCACAACTTCACTCCATCTCTGGCTGCAGGCCTGTATGAGCTCAGTGCTTGCCTCTCCTGCCTACCTGCCTCTTTATGGTATTTTAACTTAATGGGATTCAAAGACCAAAAAACTAGGTGCATTTATTAATAATTTTAACATTTCATCACAAATTTGAGATGATTTTATGAGAAACGTTTATTTCAAAAGAATTATGCTAAGTTTTAAAATGCTTTTACAGTACAATTGTCTTCTTAGGTTTTCCTTTAAATTAAACTGTTCATGTCAATGCTGGGAGACACTAATTTTTCACTTCAAGTAATTTGTTGATTGTTTTTTCCTATGCTGTCAGAATTACTGAGCTCTTCTTAGTCAGTTTTCACCTTTACAAAACAGGCAACACTTTTAGTTTTATAACTTATTTTATACACAAAGTAGTAGAGATAAAGCTTATTTTAAAGCTTATTTAGTTTTTCTTTTCTTTTTGATTTTTTTTCTTTCGCAGTCTTGGGAACTGAACTTAGGGCTGCATGCATACTGGGAAAATACTGTGCTACTGAGCTATGTTCCCAGTACCTCAAAACTTCCTCCTTTTACTTTTTACTTTTTCTTTTGAGACAGGATCTTACTGTGTTGCCCAGGCAAACCCTGAACTCACTTTGTAGCCTAGCCATGGCTTGAACTTGTGATTCTTCTGCCTCAGGCTCACAAGTAGATGATTACAGGCCCGTACCACCACCAGGCCCACCTGCTCAAAGAGTATTTCTAACATTGTACCAAATAATGTAACAAAATGATCCACATGAAAAGCTAAGGTTTTATTAATTAAAAAAAAATACCTACTGCTGGGCGTGGTGGTGCACGCCTTTAATCCCAGCACTCGGGAGGCAGAGGCAGGCAGATTTCTGTGAGTTTGAGGCCAGCCAGGTCTGCATAGCAAGTTCCAGGCCAGCTAGGGCTACAGGGAGACCCGTCTCAAAACAAAAAACAAAAAACCCCAAACCCTACTTATGTGTGTGTGTGTGTGTGTGTGTGTGTGTGTGTATTGCCTGCATGTATTTAAATGTACCCATGCCATGCAGTACCCATGGAGATCAGAAAAAGGCATCTGATTGCTCTGGAACTGGAGTTATTGACGGCTGTAAGCTGCCATGTGGGTGCTGGGAATCAAACCCAAGTCCTCTGCAAGAGCAGTCAGTGCTCTTAACCGAGCCATCTTTTCAGGCACAAGTTTTATGAAGTTTTAAGTTATGGTTGTATTTTGTCTCAGAAAAATTTTTCCACCGTTTCTAA